TGCATGCTTGATTGTTCGTAGGTATATAATGGGTACGTGTAAGCCTAAATTTTATTTACCCTCATTCTCGATAAGGTCACTATGTTTATATTGAAAATGTGTTTAAAATGAAAACACAAAAAATAATAATAAATAAATAAACAAACCACTCTTTTCTTTACTTTGTGTATAATAAAATTATATATATAACTATAAAAATGAAAGAGAATTTTCAAATTTTGTCAGCTGTCAGGGAAAACTTGGACTTTTCATGCGGGATTTCACTATTTTTACTACTTTTAAAAAGCTTTTTTTTTAAATACAGTTCATTTTTAAATATTTAACTATTTTTAACTATTTTATTCCAGCGACTTCTTGATGTTTTAATAATTTATGATTTCAAACTGAATTTTTTTTATTATAATATTTCATTTCTACATTAATTTTTATTCCATTCAACATTAATAAATTAAAATAAAAGTTTTATTTTTATATGAGAAATTGATTGAAAATTAAAAAAAAACCAGACATTTCGATTTATATTTTATTCTCTTTGAATTAAAAATTGTTTCTTTAAATTAAAAATAAAAAATGTTATAATTATTATTAATTAGATTTTGATTTCTTTCTTATATATTATTATTTAAACATCGCAAAGAAATAAAAATTGATAAATGCCAATCCGTGCCAATGAAAATTATGCAACAAATCCAAAAAAAATATTATTTTTATTATTTATATTTTGCTAAAAAATTATTATTTAATTATTGTTCTTAGTGGGTAATTACTTATAATTTTGAAAAGAGAACAAAAAATTTGTTTGTTTCCTTTTGAAGTTTTTTTTATGTCTTAATCCACAGAAGAACTTGAGAAAACTGAAAGAATAGAATCGTGGAATTAAATCACTCTGTTTACCTTGTTTCGCCATCCGATGTAATAAACGAGTTCTACGTGAGGTGAGAATTGGATTGCATTGTTGCAACGGATATATAATCGATGAGTGCATTAAATTATTCTCACCTCATGCCGAAATCGTCTATATACATTGTTTGGAAATCTATATATTTTTTTGTTTTTTCGAAAAATGTTTTCTTTTTATTTTCAACATTATATGGAAAAAAAGCTTTACTTTTAGAATAGAAAAATTTCACTATAAATTAGAAATTTTTTTTTTTATTTCTTTTGAAAATATTTGAATTTCGGAGAAGAATTTTATTATTTATACAGATAATTGAATTTTTTACGAGGATTTTAAAAATATTTTATAACATAATTGGATTTGAGAGAAGAATTTCATAATTTAAGAAGATAATTAAAATTTTTTAAAATAATTGAATTTCCGCAAATTATATGGTACAATTTACGAAATTTTTGTCCTTTTTCAATAAAATTACGAATCCTTATGGGATTTACGGACATAGTTCGATTAATATTTTTTTTTAATACAAATAAGTCGCGCACAGTGTATTTTTGTAGAAGAGCAATTTTTGATTGAAGATAATAAATAAGGGTTTAAAAGCATGCTTTTCCTTTTTGGTGGAGATTGAAAGACAGAGAAAGTAGGTGCGAGAAAACGGCGTAAGGTGGAGAGGGGATTTTCAGCGTACGCGAAATATTTCGTTCCGATGATAGTAGCACAGGAAGCGAGTGGGGAAGAAACAGAGAGAATGGGGTAGAGATTGTGTTGCGTGGTGGTCGTCGCTTATCGATTCGCGTCCCTGTGAGGAATGAAGTTGCTGCTTGCTCCTATAAGCCAAATATATATATATATATATTTTTTACCATTTCCCAAATCTAGCCAATGGTAAAAATAATTTAGGACCAAAGAATGTGACCATATGTTAAAATATAGAAATTTTCTTATTTAAACTAGTTTTCCCATTGGTCATGGTTTAAAAAAGCGAGAAATAAGATGTGATTAAAAAAGAAATGAAAATTATAGAAATTAAAATTTTATAAAAACCAAATATTCATAAGTGATATGAAAATTGTGATATATGTTGAAATATTCCTTGGAAATACTTGAATAAATCATTTATGAAATCGGATTTAAAGGAGAATTAAATTTTTTTTTTATTTTTATTGCCAAAAGAATAAGAAAAAGGAGAAGTTGCATGATTAATTAATGAGTATTGTGTTCAACTTAAGTAAAATTCTATGTTAATTTAAATAAAATCAATATAAGTATTTAAACTATATGTTAAAGTTTATTAATTATAATTAAGTTTTTTAATTTGTTTGTATAATAATTTTAGAAAGTAATATGTATACGATTTAAATAATTAATATCAAATAATTTGTAAAATTAATTTTAAATTGCTTTTCACTTCTGTTTCGTGCGATAATTCATCGTAGATTTGGATTTGAGGATAACGAAACCAACTGAAACTGGAGCTACTCTATTATCTGAGCAAATTTCAAACTAAAATTATATTAAAGTGATATAGTGTATACATATATATGCACATCAGAAATATAACTTGACGTTGTGAGATATAAATTTTATTATTAACATAGAAAAATGATTTACAAAACAACCAGAATCTGACAGTAGATTTAATTATGTTTACCCAGTTTGAATCCTTTCTTTCAAATTATAAGCCGAGAAATTTTTCTATCAAATTGAAAAATTAGAGTATACTCTGGGGCGAGATCGCAATTGCAGTTTGTGTATGCATTAGATTTTCAAGTTTTGGTACTAATTAGAATCCAGAAATAAAAAAACTAGGAAAACAAGGAAAATTACACACGAGGGCAATCGAACCTACGACCTACGAACTTTTAGATTATTATTAATGTTAAATTATTATTAATTATTTAAATAAAATAAAGAAATGAGTTATTGAGAATGGGGTCGGAGCGGGTAACATTTTACCAATATATTTATTTCTTTTGTATAAAAACACGTATTAATTAATAAGAAATTAGGATTAGATTATGGATGAAATTATATTTACGATTAGACATTATCAAAGGATTCTAGATCTTTGAATTTTGATTTTCGAGTAAATATTATTTGATTATTAATTATTGTCAATGAATTCCAAGTTGCTTTGAATTCTCCATTTATGGTATGCAGATTATTAGAGAGTGTACATTCGCAAATGGTTGTATTAGATGACAAATAGCAATATGTGCTCCCAAGGGTAGTGAATTTCTCCTCTGTGTACGCTAGATATATATCAAAGTACCTCTGAGGATAAAATGCAATTCTGAAAAGTATCTGAGGATATATTTCATCTTATCGATAAATGTCTCACAACTACATGAGACATTTATCGAGTTAAATTGAAGGAAATATCAAGCAAGGTCAAAAAAATTTATATGGATATAATTTTTTTAAAACGAAACAACAATAATTTTCAAAGAAATTAAGCTCACGGATATTTTTCGATCGCATATTTGAATTTCTCCGAATCGATAAAGTTCCCTCGACAAATAATTTTTCATCTCCTGCCGATTCTCGGTTGTGGTTACTTTTTATTAATTATGAATTAAATTAATTGTGAGGACCTAAATGATTATTGGAATTGTTTTAGCAATAGTTCAGGACCAGCAAACAGTCTTTTTACTAACATTTGTTGTTGTTATTCAATAAATACAGTTCGCACAAAAATTAATTTTTTCATCTTCTGCTGATTATCGGCTGTGGTTACTTTTTATCAATTGTAAATTAAATTAATTGTGAGGACCTAGATAATTGTTGGAATTGTGCTAGCAATAGTTCAGGATCAGCAAACAATTTTTTTTACTAACAATTGTTGTTGTCATTCAATAAATACAGTTCGCACAAAAATTATCCATTTTTACATTCTCACACAGGAAAAAAAAAGTCTGACTCCGTTTACACCTTAAATTCAGCCCATGTATTTCACATAAGTCTGTCCTTGTTTAATGGGGCTGACTCCGTTTACACCTTAAATTCAGCCTCAAAAATAGACTGAAAGTAAAACTTTTTTTTTAGTGTGCATCACATGAGAAAGTATTAGTTTTGGTCGAAAATTGACTTTCGCTAAAATTTCATAAAATCTCGACGTTTTGGGGTACCCTGAGTCTAAAAAACATGGTCTAGAAAAAGTGTCTGTCATCTTCTGCTGATTATTATCTGCTGTAGCTACAATTTCATAAAAGTTATTTGTCTTGTTTTTATCTTCAAAGACGCTTTTATATTGAGTTATAGGAAATTTAATCTACTTGATAAAGCTTCCAGTTCGACTTCTTTGAATGAAACCAGTAAACAAATATCATAATATCTTAACTGTTTAGCTATTCCCTATATGAAAAAATATCTAAATCTACAAGATGTACAAATAGAATTTTTGTATCAAGAGGCGGAATAATTGGAGAATCTATTTTTTAGAGAAATAGAGGTTTCTTTGGTATTTGTTGAGATGAAGGAAGTAACCAATATAACAAATATTTCTTACTTCTATAATCGTTCCTACAATACAAATTGGTTTAATTATGTAAGGTATTCTAAAAGTAAAAGAAGAATTTAATTTAAAATGTTTACTTAAAATAATCGATGATTCTGGTGTAATAATTTTGGACTGACCATAAAAAACACGATAAACAAGAGCGGTTATTAAAAGGTTGGCACTGGTTATCTACGTTAACAATTTGATTTTCACATGTAATGTCTCCCAGTAGATTTACATGCACAGTAATTAATAGTTAATTAATAGTTTTATTCATCAAGATCTATTAAAAAGGCATTCGTAATTAAAAGACCAAAAAAATAAAATATTAGAGAAAATACAAAATCGTAAAACCAAATGACAATACTAGCAGTCGACAAGAAAAATCGGAATGCATCGAAAAGAGCATAATGACTATTATGTCGAATTCACAAGCACGAAAATCTAAAAGTTCGAAAGCATATTCTATAGAAAAACTAAAAATTCGAAAGTTTATTTAATCGAAAAACTAAAAGTTATTAAATTTTAATACTAATGTTAATTTAATTTTAATTATTTAAGAAACAAATGTATTAATATACAATTTCTCGTTGCTGTTTGCAGGTATGTTAATCGGGTTGTCATACTGTAGGCGCTTTCACAATTTCTGTAAATTTAACTTCAGAGAAGCCATTACTTGTAAGTAAATTCAATTTACCGATTAATATTTACATATCTATTTTTTATTATTATTCTTATTTTTATTATTCTACATAATTTATTATTCGTACGAGTCTTATTCTAACATTATAGTACAAATTTTATTTCAAATCTCCCGCCAAATTTGAAACGCGCCCAAAAGTCTTGTCCCTTTACCGTTGGCAGCACTGCAAATTAAAGGTTGCAAAATTCTCCGCAATAAATTGCAACAAATTCGCAATTTGCCATAATTTACGATTTGCAACGAATAATGATTCGCAGTCATGATAATAATTCCCCATTAAAATCATTTTCAAGAAAATTAAATAAAAATTCCCCAAGAAATTTCGGATAAAATACTTGTGTTAGGGAAAATATTTTTAAAAATCTGCCTTTTAATACAGTGATAAGTGATTAAAGTGAAGAACTTCAATTAAAAGAATAAGTTAATTGTTTTCCTAAAAAAATAACAAGAAATCCGCGTGAAAAACTGAATTTGCCCTAAAAAAAATAGTGATTGAAATAATATATTTGAAATTCGCCATTATTGGCGGGAGGAAAGATAAACTGCCGCCCTAGATGGCGTTCTCAAAGACTAGAAAGAGGAGCTGAAAACAGAAAACCCGAACCGGTCATGGTGGTAACGATCGTGCAGCGCACTTGCGTTTCTGAATTTTCCCAGTGATATCGCGCAATAATCACACTTATCATTTAGCGAACAACGTGTCAGCGGCCGGTTTCAATAAAAATGGGCGCTTATTTATCCGAACCGATAACCGAAAAAGTGTCCACCGATCAAACGGGGAAAAATATTTCATACGGCGCGAGTTCAATGCAAGGCTGGCGAATTAGTCAAGAGGTAAGTGTGTGGATAAATTCTCAAGTGCTTGCATTACACCGTTAATCCTATATACTTATAATTTCGAATAATGTTTGCCATGTTCAAAATATCTAATCAATTAGTGTAAGAAATTATTTCTTTTCTATTTCGGTATAAAGGACAAATTTATTCACTTTTACCGCTTTACAAAGTATTTTTAATACCAAATTGAGCGGTTTTATGAATCGTTTGGAAATATACATATATATATGTATGTACATGCATATATATCTACATTACGTTGCGCCTGCAAAGATGCCATTCTGCCGCGAACCTATATTTTTACATTCTTTCTACCGGTTGATAGGAAAATTTATTTTTGCCACAAAAAATATTTTAATAAACAAAGTTAAACATTTTTTTTTTACTGTATTGTTTTCAATTTTTGCAAAAAGAAAAACCAGTTAGGCAGAAATAATTAATTGGTTGATAGTCATTCGTTTGCCGCCAGAGTAATTTGCATTGTATTCAAGAGAGGAAAAAGTCAATTCTTTTTTCTTTATTATTATTTTTATTATTAATTTTCAGGGGGAAATTTAGGATATTTTTTCGATTTTTCGATATTTTTATTTGCAGAGATACTTTTCGTTTTAAATAGCAAAACGCGGGGAAAGTAACATAACCTCTTATAATCTCGTGTTCTTGTAATTTTCTTTCGGGGATAATAAGTAAAAATTCAATTATTGTAAAAATTGCTGTTGAATTTTAAAGGTTTTTTTGTTTTTATTTTTTTTCAGAAGTAGAATTGAGAATAAATGTATAGTTTTCAAATTTTTTCAGGATGCCCACAACGCGTGTATTGAATTCGATGAAAATGTTTCACTATTTGCCGTTTATGATGGACATGGAGGTCATGAAGTTGCTGCATATTGCGCTCGAAATCTACCGGATTTTATAAAAAATACTGAGGCGTATAAAAATGATGATATTAAACAGGCCCTCATTGATGCATTCTTAGGTTTCGATGCTACTTTGGTAAAGCCGGATGTAATCAATATATTGAAGGAAATTGCAGGAACAAAGGATCCAGACAAGAAGAAAGATGACGATGAGGAATCTGGTAATTTTTTTCTTTTTTTTCCCTTAAATCTTCAGGGTTGATCTTACAAAAATATTTATTTAATTTTATTGATTTAATTTAAAAAATGTGGTTCTAGATGAAGAGGAGAACATCAACAGTCTCTGCATGGAGGCGCAAATGCCACTTGAACAAGTAATGGCGAAATATCAATCCGAAGGTTCGCAACCACCGTCAAAAAATGAGAAGAACGAAATTAATAATCGTATTTATTCAACGAGTCCGTACTTACGAAGTCGAAAGGGTAAAGAGAAGGCAAGTTGTTCATCGTCAGGCGCCGGTTGCTCTTCATCGTCATCGTCATCCTCGTCATCGTGGAATACAAACGAAAGTGATGTGAGTAGCTCGAGTCAACCTTGTGGTTCAAGTTCGGCAGATAGAAAAGAATGTGTGGCAAGCAGTGAGGCAGAACAAGTTCTCGATTCAACAACAAGTAATGGTGAAGTTGCCGCCGAGACATCTGATCGTGTCGCTTCAACGCAAGCTGAAGAATCAGCAAAATCATCTGCCGACATGCCCGATAGTTCAGAGGACGTCAAGGATAAAGTATCGCCAAGTAAAACGTCACCAGAAAAAAGTACAAACGACACGGAAGTGATAAATGGCGGCGGTGGCGGTGGTGATAATGGCTCAAAGGAAAATTTAGACGATGCCGATAGCAGTAAAGGTGGAACTGACAGTGCAATCAGCAGTTCTTGCAGTCCAGTTGATAACGGCGAGACGGAGGAGCAGGCGAAAATAAGTAGCAGTAACACTCGGAAACGACCGTCTGCCATTGAACTTTATAAGAGTTTGCTGCAGGAATATGCCGAGAGTATAGAGAATCCAGAAGAGGAGGAAGACGACGATGATGAGGAGGATGAGTCTTTTGTTGGAAATCGAAAAAAGTAAATTTTTAATTTTAAATTTTTCCCCATTTTTAGGGCTCGAACTAGGTCCGTAAATACCGTCAGGGAAGTCAGGGAAATTAGAATTGGTAAGAGAAATCAGGAAATTCAGGGATTTTTATTAAAAGTACTGGAAAAAATTAAATTTTTAGAATTTACAAGAAAATTCTGAATTTTAGTAATTTTTGTTTGCCTCATAAACTATGAAATTGTCAAGAATTCTAATACAGAACCTTCCATTTTTTCTATTTCTAACAATAATTTATTTTTAAATAACTTAATTCTTCAAGAACTATCATAAAATTATTACTTAGAAATTATTTCAATTATTTTTAATATCTACTATTTTAATAACATTTTTCATAGAATTCAATTATTTAAACAAAATTTGAGTAACAATTTCACAGGATTTCAATTATTTACCAATTATTTATAAATTTCTACGAACCAATTCAATTATTTTTAATTTTTTAATGAAATTTCTCGAAAAAATTCAAATATATTCAGAGAATTGAAAAAAAAAATTGTTCTGAGAAATTCAATTATTTTGAAAAATTTAAATAAAATTCTTTTAAAAATTCTATTATTTAAAAAAATTTTTGACAAAATTCTTTACAACATTTAGTTTAATAAAATTTTCACCACAATTCTTCTTAAAAATTCAATTATTTTCACAAATAATACATTTTTTTATGGAAATTCAATTATTTAAAAAAATTTGAATAAAATTCTTTGCAAGAAATCAATTATTTTCATAAATAATAAAATTTTTCTCCAGAATTCAATTATTTTGAAAAATTTTGATAAAATGCTTTATTAATTTAAAAAATAATAAAATTGATCATAGAATACAAATATTTTTGTAAAATATAACATTATTCTTTGGAATTAAATTATTTTCGTAAAAAATAAAATTCTTCGAAAGAATTCAATTATTTTCGTAAAAAATAAAATTCTTCGAAGAAATTCAATTATTTACGAAATTTTAATAAAATTCTTGCCAAGAATTCAATTCTTTTCAAAAATAAACATTTTCACAGGAATTGAATTATTTTAAAAAAAAATTAATAAAATTCTTCGGCAGATTTCAATTATTTTCTATTTTTTAAGGAAATTTCTCGATTGCATTTAATTTTTTTTTTGAAAAAGTTTTAAAAGATTCTGAGAAATTCAATTATTATTTTAAAAAATTTGGAAATAAAATTCTTTACAAGAAATTAATTTTTTTTATAAATAATAATATTTTTCTCTGGAATTCAATTATTTTTACAAATAAAATTCTTCACAGGAATTCAATTCTTTGAAAAATTTGTTAATAAAATTCATTGCAAGAATTCAATTATTTTCAGAAATAAAAAAAGCTTATCGCTGAATTTCAATTATTTTTTTTACAATTTTAAATAAAATGATAGAAAATTGCATTTATTCTTAAAATTTTTTTTTAAATTCGCCGAAAGAATTCTGTTATTTTTAAAAATGTTGATAAAATTCTTCATAAAAATTAAATTTTAAGAAATAATGCTCTTTATAAGAATTTAATTTGAAGAAATATTCAATTATTTTATAAATTATCTATTTTTGGGTTTAAATAATTGAATTCTCGTAGAATTTTCTGAATTTTCTAATAAAAATTGATTTTCATTTCATAAAAGTGAATTTCAGTTATAATTTTAGATAATAATTGAATATTAAATGAAATATAGCGTGAATTTTTAGAAGTAATTAAATTTTGAAATTAATTTGTTTGAAAAAGTTTAATTGCATTTTTTTAGTATTATTTGAAGTTTTAATTTTCTAATATTTATTCAATTGAAGAATTTAAGAATAATTGAAATTTCGTAAAATTGAATATTGTTCGAGCCCTGCCTTTTTTTACTTGATTAGAAAAAATTTATACTTACTTCTTTTTTTCTTTCTTTCTTTTAGGAAAAGTTTACTCAGACAGTTCGATGAAATGGATGATAGTGATGATGATGACGACGAAGAAGAAGAGGAAGAGGAAGACGAGGAGGACGATGACGAAGAGGATGATGACGACGATGAGGATGAAGATGAGGAAATGTACAACGATGACATTAACATGAATATGACCGAAGAGGTAAATTTCAATTTATAATAATTATAGCAGATTTCGTACTCAATTAAAATTAGAGAAAATCGTGACATAACTTTTAAAATAAATTAAAAATGTAATTCTAATTAGTTGATTATATTAATTAACAGCCTGGATCGGACAGCGGTTGCACTGCAGTCGTGGCACTATTGAAGGGTAACGATTTATACGTCGCAAATGCTGGCGATTCAAGATGCGTTTTATGCCGTGATGGCGATGCAGTTGAATTGAGCTTTGATCATAAACCGGAAGATCAGCCGGAAATGGATCGCATTATAAAAGCAGGTGGCAAAGTAACTGCCGATGGACGCGTCAACGGTGGACTCAATTTATCCCGAGCAATTGGCGATCACGCGTACAAACTAAATGTCGAATTGTCACCTCAGGAGCAAATGATTTCAGCATTACCCGACATCAGGCACATGACAATTGATTTGGAGAGAGATGAATTCATGGTACTTGCTTGCGATGGAATTTGGAATTTCATGACAAGTCAGGACGTCATTCAATTCGTGCGAACACGCCTCAAGAAGGGTTGTCAAAATGTCTCCAAAATCTGCGAAGAGGTTCTTTATTTCTATTTTATGAAACACTTCGTTATTCAGTAACTTGCTTATTTTGTATTTAATATTTTTATTTAATCTTTCTGTCTAATATTTATATTCTTATTTTTATGTTCTTTTACTTTTCTGTACTTTTCTTTTTCTGTATTTTTATTTTTCTGTACTTTTACTTTTCTGTATTTTTATTTTTCTGTACTTTTACTTTTCTGTATTTTTATTTTTCTGTATTTTTACTTTTCTTTTTCTGAATTTTTACTTTTCTGTACTTTTATCTTTCTGTTCTTTTACTTTCCTGTACTTTAACTTTTCTGTACTTTCATTTTTCTGTATTTTTCTTTTTTTGTATTTTAACTTTTCTGTATTTTTATTTTTCTGCATTCAATAATTCATATTTTTTTTTCTCATAGTTATTCGATCATTGCCTCGCGCCAAATGTTTTGGGCGATGGAACTGGATGCGACAACATGACAGCGGTGATTGTTCTATTTAAACCATCATTGCCAGTTAATGATGTGAGCAAATCAGCGAGCGAACAATCAGTGACGAAGAAAAGGCCCGTGACACCCGGTTCACCGGAAGCTAAGGATTGCACGACGCACGACACTGTGATAGATGAATGCAAGCGTCAAAAAACAGAAGCCGTTTGAAGGAAACAAAAAAAAAGAGGGAAAATGTCTCGAAACTGAAAAAAAAATAATTGACCTACTCATGTTCAAGTGAATATAATTTTTTTTAATTTACATACAACTTTTACATAGTTACGCAAAACAGAAAAAGCAAAAAAAAACAAAAAAATGCACGATTTTTATATATAAAAGGCACTCGATAGACTGATTTATTGGGACAAACGTGGGTGATACGTGTTTCTTTACAAGAAAAAACTGATAAAAACCAACGAATCCAAATTATTTTTCTTTATTTCCGTTATTTGTGAATTCAATTTCTTTTTTAAATCAAAATTCGATGGTTTTTTTCATAAAGAAAAATAGGATTGTAAAAGAAAGTAAAGTTTTTAACGAAAGAATTGTGTAATTCGAAAATTGTAAACGACGAAAAAAGGAAAATGTAATAAGCATCAAATTTTTTCTTTTTTTAATTTCAGTGGAAAGACACCTTTATGTATTTGTAGATGATAAGGTAAAAATAAGCATACATTTAAAAAAAAAAAAAGTACGGCAAATTTAAGGAAAACTATGAATTGTATGAATTGTATGAATTGTATAATTTATTGTTTTTATTCACATCGACGTCATAACATTTAGATTTAAATAATAATTTTTAACTATTTATCGTTCCGGTGGTTAAACTAAATTTTTTTTCTCATTGGTTATGGAATTAATATTTAGAGAGAGAAAAAAAAGCACAAAAAAGAAAGGAAGAAACATTTTTTTTTCACTTGATTTGCATTTATAGTGCCCTTTTTTTCTTTCTTTTTTTTCACTATCATTCCCAAAAAAATAATTTAAAAAAAACAAGCACAATTTCAAATTTATTTTTTGAATCATGGATTCTGCGATTTGTACTCTTGATTTTTTTTTTAGGAAGAAAAGGTACATTAAATGTGCGATTGTACATATTTCTAAACATAAGCTGTAAAATTTATATTTGTAATCCAATACAATCGATTAATTTCTTATTTTTCTTTTTGAATAAAGTTTATTTTTTAATCCCTTATAGTTACGATTTTTATAGAAAAACAAAGAATGAGGTAATTTAGAAAAAAATTCTCTGGCTTCAAATTTATTTTTTTTTATGTGTAAATCACCGAGTCTTTAAAGTTTAACTTCGAATAATTGTACTAAGCACACAATACCAAAGTGACTCTTTCAGTTTTTTATGCATTTAAAAAGAGGAAAAAATGGAAATTCGACTTCTACAGGAAAATAAATATATATTATATATTATATTGACCGATGTGACGAGCTCTAATGTAGAACACATTAGAATTTTTGCTAGACAGTAGTAATTTATTGTACACCGAACTTTTATATTGATTGCTGTAAAACTATAGTTATCTCAAGTAATTATAGTTGTATAACAATATTTATAGTTATATAATAAGAAATATAGGCCGAGAAGAATTCTTTTAAAGTAATCCTTTGATTCTTCGTAAACTTTTCTATTTTTACTGATAAATTTGTTATTACTCGTTAAGCTGATATTTTTAACTAGAAAAATCAAGAAAATTGTTTCAAATACAATTTATTTGACTTAAATAAAATTAATTTGATTCAAGTAAATATTTATTTGTCTTGAATACAATTTATTTGATTCAAGTAAATATTTATTTAACTCAAATAAAAATTATTTGACTCAAATTAAATTAATTTGACTTAAATAAAATTAATTTGATTCAAGTAAATATTTATTTGACTCAAATATATTTTATTTGATTCAAGTAAATATTTATTTGACTAAAATAAAATTAATTTGATTAAAGTAAATATTTATTTGACTTGAATCAAATTTTTTTTTCATTATCTCCAAATTAATTAGAAGAAAAAATTCCCCAATTATTCAATTAAGTCAAAAGGATTGATTTAAATAATTTTTTTCAGTTTATACAAACTAATGACAGTCTAAAACAGCCTGTTCTAAAAAATAGTTTATATAAAAGTAATTATAGTTATATAACGATAATTAGTTATGTAACAATAAATGCTGTTATATAACAATTAATAATTATTATTATATAACTATAATTACAGTATTCAAGAAAACTTTTCGATTGCTTCTGATTTTGTATAGTATGTCGATATAAATAAATATATATTCCATTTTATATAATACATACAAAAATATCAAAATGGAAGAAAAAATGTATTGATTTAAATCGGTTAAATGAAAAAATTTGCGAAAAATTGTAAATAAAAGAAGAAGAAAAAAAGAAGGAAGAAAAAAATTGAAGCAGTCTGAAAAGCTCATATTTACAATATAAAATTTAGAATCAGACAGAATTATAATTAACTCATGTGCCTTTCATGTTCAGGGGTCGACAGTCTCCATTTTTTTTGTGTAAATTAGCTGTCTCTGATTTTTTTAAAGGAGATGGTCTTCACCAAAAAAAAAAAAACAAAAAAAAAAACACTTCGATATTATAATAGTTATTGCAAAAAGAAAAAAAAATCTTACAACTATGTACAATATGCATATATCCGTTTCGTAATACATGTATGTACCATGAAGACAAAATTATAAATGTCTCTTTTTTTTGCACTTTGATTAATTTAAGATTTTGTTTTTTTTAGAAAAGGAATTTATTTTCATTTTTATTTTTCATTACATTTTAAGTTTTTTATTTATTTTTAATATTGAATATTTTTAATTTACAGTAAGATGTTCAATTATTTCTAATTGTTCCATTTCGATTTTTTTCAACGAATCGTATTGAACTCGAAGTCTCTCCAATTCTATTGACTTTTCCATAATTAATGCCTGGAAAGGAAATTTCAATTTTAGAGAAATTAACCATTTATCAAATATTCGAGACTCGCAGGCTTCACACTAAATAAATAAATTTTTTAAAAAAATTTTGCAAAAAGTAGCTTTAATATTGAAAGAAGTAGTAAAACGTATTCATCAAAATATTTATTTTAATTAAATTAAATTTATTTAAAATTGAATTAAAAATAATTGAAAAGCTACTATAAAAATTTTATTATTTATTGAAAATAATTGAATTCTTCCAACAAATATTATTAATATTTTTTCAAATAATTGACTTGCTGGGAATGATTTTATTTTTTGTCTGAAAATAATTGAAATCAATTATTTCTATCAAAAACTTTGATAAAATTTTAATAAAATTGTTTTAAATAATTAATTTCTTTTCAAAAATTTTTATGAAAATTGTATTTCAAATAATTGTGAATTTCTGCAAAAATTGTATTATTTATGAAAATAATTGAATTTTGGAGAAAAATATTTTTTAAATTTATGCAACGAATGAGGTGCAAAGCCTGGACCCGGGAAAGTTTTCTTTTTTACCTGCATTTGTTGTTTTCGTTCCTCTCGTTCTTTGGCAACTGAACGAAGTAAATTTCGTGCACCAATTACTTTCATTTTTTCTTTATCAACCCGTTGTCCCACATTATCCAAAATCTTTATAAATTCATCCGTGCCTTTCTTAAATTCCGTAATTTCTGCAAAAAAAAACAAAATTTTTATAATTTATTTTTCAAAATTATCTCCGTCGGTATTTGTTTCGATTGAAAAATTTGCCACTAGATGGCATGTAGGCAAAAGTGTCCGATCGGTAAATCGATAAAAATATGAGACAAGTTCTTTGGTTGTGGTGATTTTTCGTATGTTTAATTAAGTGACGATTTTAACGATATCAAAATTGAAATTAGTGAAAAAACGAAAGACAAGGTAAGTGAAAATTTAAAATTCTCTTCTATTTTCACACTTTTATTTTGTGCTTGAAAGATGTGCTCCAAAAATAAAGTCGATGTGATAATTTTCTACGAAAGGTGCATTTAGATACAAGTCCCATTATATTTTTTACTTACTGGTGACGAAAGTTTGACTTTCGTCCTTTAATTTTACCGCTTGATTAACAACTTCTGGATCTAAAACTCGTATTTTACTTAAATCATCAATATAAAGTCCATATTTTGCTAGCGAATCTGCCATTTTCTCTCAAAGAAACAAACAATAAAATCCAGGGTTGCTAGACAATTCAGTGATACCAACCAAACTTGCCTGAACCTAACAAAAACGGGGTGAGAGGGGGATCAATAATAATCCCAATTTCGATGAATTTAATTTCTCCAGTTCGATCCAAATATTATTGAAATATTTCTAAATATTTCTCTATTTTTCTATTATCAAGAATTTTTAATCAGTTGACAGACTTTTAACGATTTTTTGAATTTCGCGCCAATTTTATCTTTTTGCGGTTGGCTTGACTTCATTAATAAAAAATGGTGATAAAATAAAAATTATTATAAAAGTTTGTCGTCCTCACTCGACTATCTCGTAAATAAATCCGATAGAAGTGAATACGATTTCAATTTTAAAAGCCCGTTTTCATTGAAATTTACAATTTTCTAATTGAAATAGTAATTTAAAAAGTGTAAATTCGTCATATTGGTGCAACTGTCGCACATGCGCAAATTGGAGAAGAAAAAAAAATGCTAGAAGTCAATATGGTGGACGTTCATTAGATAAGTATTTGTTGAAAACGTTGAAAAATAAGAGATGTGAAAAAAATTCTTGCTTTTGGATTTAAAAGTGATAATGGGGAATAAAAGTATATTAATTGTGGAGGTATAATTTTATACCGACATTTATTACGGTTAAGAAACGAGAAAAGTGAAAAGATAAAAAAAATGAGGCTAGGAGAGACGACGTAGATAAATACCTCTTGAAAAAGAAAAATAATTTTCTTCCCAATTGTTTGGAATTAAAGAATTTTGAAGAGAAGTAAAAAATTGTGTCCAAATATTTTTCTCTCTCTAATCAGATTTGTTAAATGTTGAATTTGACATTTGATAAAATCGATATCTCATCATCGTCGTCGTCGTCGTCATCATCGAATTTATTTTCCTCGCCCATATCAACATTTCTCGTTAAAGTCAACGTTATGTCAGGAGATCATCAATCTGTCATTAAATATCCATCGGAATATGTTAAACTTAATATTGGTGGGTCATTGCATTACACTACAATTGGCACCCTTAGAAAACATGATACAATGTTACGAGCAATGTTTAGTGGTCGAATGGAAGTTCTTACCGATTCGGAAGGTAAAATTGGAAAATAAAATTCTATTTTATTCTCTTTAGTTTTCCTTTCTATTTTTTCTATTCTTGTTTTTTATTTTTTTTTTATTCTTTCCATTTGATTTTAATTTTCTACTAGCAAATTCACTTATTAAATACATAATTAATTATTATTGTTTCTTTAGTATTTTCAAAAATTTTAATATAATTCTTCGGAAGAATTCAATTATTTTCATAAATAATAACATTCTTGGGAAAAATTCCATTATTTTTTTAAATAGTAGAATTTTTTTGCTAGAATTCAATTATTTTCAACGAAATTTTAATAAATCTTTCAAAATAATTCAATTATTTTTATATATTTTATATATTTAAATTTTCATCGAAAAAATTATATTATTTTTCAAAAATTTTAATAAAATTCATCCTAAAAGTTCAATTATCTTCATAAAAAGAAAATTCTTTAGAAGATTTCAATTATTTTCATTATTAAAATCAAATTCATTGGAGAATTTCAAAAATTTTCAAAAATTTTAATAAAATTCTTCTTAAAAATTCAATTATCTTCATAAAAAGTAAAATTCTTTTGGAGATTTCAATTATTTTCATTAATAATAAAATTCTTTGGATGATTTCAATTATTTTCAAAAATTTGAAACAAATTCTTGTCAAGAAATCCTTTCGAAGTAAAATTCATCGTAAAAATTAAATTATTTTTCATAAATTTACAAAATTCTCCTGAGGAATTTAATTATTTTTAATACAATTTTAATAAACTTGAAAAAATTATTTGTTTAATTCAATTATTTTCAAAATTTTTAATTAAAATTATTTCAAAAACTGCATTATTTTGAAAAAAACTCAAAGAAATTCTTTAAAAGAATTTAATAATTTACAAAAACTCTAATAAAATTGTTTAAAAGAGTTTAATTTTCTATCAATAATTTTAGTAAACTTTTAATAGTAAAATCATTAATTACAGTTATTAAAAATTCGACTATACTTAATAAATTAAAGAAATGTTTTGAAAGAATTCAATCAGGATTTTTAAAAATTTTAATAAAATTTTTTGCTAGAATTCGATTATTTTTATAAATAATAAAATTCTGCGAAGGAATTTAATTATTCTGAAATTTTTTGACAAAATTCTTTGCAACAATTCAATGATTTTTAAATACATTAATTTAAAAATTGAAAATATTTGTAAAGAAAAATTATTTAAAAAGTTAGGATTATTAATATTAATATATAGATTTTTGAATTTGAAAGTTTGGCTTTTGTTTTTTCTTGGCTAGAGAAAAAAATGAGATTTTTCTGTTTATAATTTTTCAGGTTGGATATTAATTGATCGTTGTGGAAAGCATTTTGGCACAATTTTGAATTTTCTGAGGGATGGTTCAGTGCCTTTACCGGAAAGTGCAAAGGAAATGGCTGAACTTTTAGCTGAGGCAAAGTATTATTGTATAAGCGAACTGGCTGAGTCTTGTGAACAGGCGCTTCAGAAAAAGGAGCGCGAAACGGAGCCAATATGCCGTGTCCCTTTAATTACCTCACAACGAGAAGAACAATTGCTTATTAGTAATACAACAAAACCAGTTGTTAAATTACTTGTAAATAGACACAATAACAAATATTCCTACACAAGGTATTTTTTTTTTCATTTTTTAATTCTTAATCAAAAAAGTTTTAATTTGTTTTAATTTGAATGTTTCTTTTTTAAAAATATTTAAAACGTAAAAATGTAAATAATAGGAAAATATTTCTTTTCACAGTACATCGGATGATAATTTACTGAAAAATATAGAACTATTTGACAAAATGAGTCTTCGATTTAGTGGTCGTGTACTATTCATAAAAGATGTAATTGGTTCGAGTGAAATTTGCTGTTGGACGTTTTATGGACACGGGCGTAAAGTCGCTGAAGTTTGTTGCCATTCTATCGTCTATGCGACTGATAAGAAACATACAAAGGTAATTTTCAAGCAAAATTCATTTACAACAACAAAAATTAACTAAACTGACTTTTTTCGACTTTTTTCAACCATTTTTTAGACTTAATCTCAAAAATTGCGACATTTTCGATTTTTCTCCCCAATATCAGACTTTATACTCGATAATTAATTTTAAGAAACTAGCAAAAAGTAACTTGAAGACAGAAAAAAGTAGTTATCGAAAAATTAAATTTGACGTCTCAATTTTTTCATAATTTCTAGATTAAATTCTATAAATAGAATAATTTTTTTCAAATAAATATTTAACTACCTATTTATTTTTCTACTGAAATTGAAATATTTTAAATGATTTTTAACGTAAAGCCTTTTTGAAATTAAACAATAGTATTTCTCAAAATTACAACAAATTCTTCAAAAAATTCAATCATTTATTTGTTGAAATTTTTAAATCGAAAATTATGGAAAAATTTAATAAATTTATTTCGAAATAAAAATTTAAATATTATTTCACTTTTACAATTACAATTTTATAAATATTCACTTTAGAAATCTTTTGAAATTTAATTATTCAACAATTTTTACTACATAACTCTTCTAATATTCAATTATTATCTAATATTTTAACTGAAATTCAATTTTAAATAAAAAATTGTTATTAGAACGTTCAACGAGAATTTAACTATTTAAATACAAAAACAAATAATTTATTAATGGAATATTTCTTAAAATTGAATTCTTATAAAATGAAGCTTTATCAAAAATTTTCAAAATAATTGAATTGTTATGAAGAAATTTTGGAAAATAATTTAATTTTTTCAAAAAATTTAATTAAAAATAGATTGAATGTAATTATTAAATTGTAATAAACAAAATATATTACAATTTTTTTAAATAATTCAATTCTTTCGAAGAATTTTAGAACAATCTTTTTAAATAATTGAATTCTTTTGATGAATTTTAATGAAATTTTTAAGAATTATTACATTTTTCGAGGAATTTGATTAAAATTTGATTTAAAATAATTGAAATTCTGCAATGAGTTTTATTGTTTACAAAAATAAATTAATTTTTGCGAAGAACTTTATTAAATTTTGTTTAAATAATTGAATTCTGACGAAGAATTTTATAATTTATAAAAATAATTGAATTTTTGCGAAAATTTTTATAACATATTTTTAAAATAATTGAATTTCTGAGAAAAATTTTATTATTTTAAAAAATAATTGAATTCTTGCGAAGAACTTTATTAAATTTTGTTTAAATAATTAAATTCTTACGAAGAATGTTATTATTTATAAAAAGAATTGAATGTTTACAAAGAATTTTATAACAGATTTTTTTAAATAATTAAAATCTTTCAAAAATTTAATTAAAATTGTATTAAGAATAATTATTTAATTCTAATAAACAAATTCTAGCAATTAAAAATAATTGAAATTCCTGTGGAAATTTTATTATTGATAAAAATAATTGAATCTTTATGAAAATAATTGAATTTTATAAAAGAAATTTCTAAATAATTGAATTTTTCAAAAGATTTAATTAAAAATGTATTGAAAATAATTATTAAATTCATATAAACAAATTATATCATTTTTTTAAACAATTGAATTCTTTCGAAGAATATTAAAAACATTTTTAAGAATAATTGCAGTTTTTCGATGAATTCATTTAAAATTGTATTAAAAATAATTAAATTCCTCAGAAGAATTTGATTATTTTTACAAATAATTGAATTCTTGCGAAAAATTTTATCAAATTTATTGAAAGTAATTGAATTGTTAAGAATGTTATTAAAATTTTGAAAGTAATTGAATTCTTTCAAGAGATTTAATTAAAAATTTATTGAAAATAATGATTAAATTCTAATAAATTAAATATATCCATTTTTGAAAAATAATTCAACGAGGTTTATTATTTATTTATCTTCCTCAGAAGAAATTTATTCACTTATAAAAATAGTTAAAGTATTGCAAAGAATGTTATAACAAATTTTTTTAAGAAATTTAATTAAAAATGTTATGAAAATAATTATTAAATTCAATTAGACAAATTATATCAAAATTTTTAAAAAATGATTCAATTATTTCGAAGAATTTTAATAAAATTTTCCACAATTATTGCATTTTTCGAAGAATTAATTTAAAATTGTATTAAAAATAATTGAAATCTTTCGATGAGCTTTATTATTTATGAAAATAATTGAATTCTTGCCAATTATTTTCAGTACTATTTTAATAAACTTAAAAAATCAAATATTTAATTGTAATTTTTAGTAATTATTAAATTTCATTTTGTTTTGTATTTTTAATCGACTAGAGCGCCTTTTTTGCGTCTTAAAGTCAATTTGAGACTGGTTTAATCTTAGAAAAGAGAAACAAATTTTTTCCTTTTTGGAAAATTACGTAATTTGTCGTCTATTTCCCTTTTTTTAAAGGTTGAGTTTCCAGAGGCGCGAATTTACGAGGAAACTTTAAATATTTTGCTCTATGAGCATCGAAATGGACCAGATCAGGAATTAATGCAAGCGACATCGTCGAGGGGTGCTGTTCAAGGTGGTGCACCGCCTTGCACGTCAGACGAAGAAGAGGGCGAGCGCACAGGTCTGGCGCGACTTCGTTCCAATAAACAAAACACCAACTGACCCATCCGCACGTTTCTACCCCCATCGCAATTAGCAATTCGTAGTGGTTGGGGCGTTGTTCGCACATTAAAAACACGAGCCAATTTAAAATAGTCGCGCGCAATTTGCCTCTATTTCACACGTGAAATTTAAAGCAAAAAAAAAAGAAAAGTAATTTTTTGCGAGAATGGACTGCAAATTCTGATTTTTTTTCAAGGAAGAAAGAAAGAAAAGAGCACCAAAGAAAAAAATTAATTAAAAAAATCCCATCAGAATTTTTCTAGATTTACACAGAAACACAAACAATTTACCAAAGGCGTTGAATGGAAATTCAATTCTTTTTTTAAGACTTTAGAAAAAACAAAATGGAGAATTTGAATTTTATTCACGTTGCAGTTTTTTTTCAGTACGCGGATTTCACGTGCCAAACATTCTTTTAAATAAAGAAAAAAAAGGAAAACAAAAGTGATACTTTGCCTTATGCAAAAAAAAAGAAATTCTAGGTCTCTTTGTGTCAATTTTTTTCTTTTTTTTTAATTCTGTATTTAAATGATCCACAAAAATTGAACGTTCAAATGGAGGAAATGTTTTCGTATTAAAAAAACAAATTATTTATATTAAATAAAACATATTCAATTTAATATTTACTGTCGTTACGATTAATTTTTTTAGAGAAAAAAAAAAATTCAAAGAGGAAATGAATACATTTCGTTTATTTGAACTTTCAGATTTTTAGGAACATGAATTTAAAACGAAATTAAAATATTTTCGTAATTTTCAAATTCTCGAAAAAAAGAGAGAAAAGAAACTGGAAATTTAATTCATATTTAATTATAATTAGAATACTATTCTTGAATAATAGTAAATTATTACCATAGAAATAATAAATTTTTATTCTTTTCGAAATGCGCAGTATTTTCTTTTCTCTTTTTATTATTTGTTCGGCAAAGAAATAATTTTTATATTTAAATATCAGAAATAGTGGAAAAAACTTAATATGTTCGGAAAATTAATCAAAAAGTAAAAAAAAGTTCTTTAACGGGATAATTAAAAGTTCTCTAAAGGGAAATTTTTTTCTTTTGCCAACAAAAACGGGAATTTCGAATATATTTTTCTTTCTAATTAACTTATTAATGGCTGTCGACAAGAGGGACCATAAATTTATTGCTTTTTCGCGAATTAGAGAAATTTTTTTTTTTTAAAACATTTCTCCGTAAAATGAAAATAATTTCGCATTAAAGCAGAACTGGAAATTGTACAATCTTTACGTCTTTGTATGCGTGAAAATCTGTCTCTTGTGTTATTTATTACAATTTTTTTTTGTTCATATTTTTATATATATATGAAAATGTCTATACTAATCTCAAAAGAAAAAAAATGAAAAAGAAAAGAGAAAAAAAAAGAAAACTCGTACATTAGAGATTGACTCGAGTCTCTATAAATTAAATGTCAAAAAGTAACTGTACAACTTTTTAATTTTAATAATTTGTATATGAATATTGTGTATGTGACTGATCCAACAACGCACATTAAAAGAAAGAAAATCTTTGTGCTCAAAAGCCGAAAATTAAAAAAGAAAAAAAAATAAAGTACATTTTTTCATTCTATACAATTAAATACGTTTTTTTTATTAATTTTGCCCTCTTGGGACAAAGAGTTTGCCAATTATCATTTAAATTTAAAATTTTAAAATTATTAAATTAAAAAATTAAAATTAAAATTTTGTGTATAAAAAAATACTAATGCGACACTTACAGGGTTTTGTAAAAGAAAAATCACAAAATTGTTTCACTTGAAGCAATTTTAATTGTGATTATTTTTAAAAAAAGGAAATATTTATCTGTTATTAAAGTAAAGCTAAAAATAGTAAAAATGTACGAATAGTCATGTTAAAAAAAGTAGTAAATTATAAATTTGTTAATAAAATAATACTTTAATTAACAAGAAAATAAAAATTGAAAAATATTTTTGGCGCAAAAAATCGAATTTCCAGGCATTTTATTTTGTTTATAATAATGGAATTAATAAAAAAAAATGACAGATTGTAAATTTTTTTTCAAGGGATAAAAGTCTATTTAATATTTTCGAACTTGGAATTAATCAAAAAAAAAAAAAAAAATGACAGATTGTAAATATTTTTTTCAAGGGATAAGAGTCTATTTAATATTTTCGAACTTAAAAAAATAGTTGAATTAATAATTTTTAATATTTATAACAATAATTCTAGAATGAAGGTAAAACACCAAATTCTTAACATTTATATAGTGTTTAAATGGTTTTAAACTATTAAAAGTAAAACAAATAGAGAATTTAATAGATAAATGTTTCGATATATTTCACAAGCAAAATTATTGACAAATAATTTCCGAAAAAAATAGATGTTAATATGCATAAATATGTGCCAAAAGTTTACAATCGTAAAGTTGATATGTGTATAAATGTAAAAAAAGAAAGAAATCTGTATAGTAAATGAAATGACTAAACACTAAATATGCGATGAATTTTATGTAAAGTAAAACAAAGTAACTGATGGCAAAATTACCGCCATTGATTGTATCACATAAATTACCGCATATTAGAAAAAAATGCATTATCAGTCGTTGCATTTATTAATTAATATTTTCTCATCGTACATATACCAATGATGAAGAAAAAAGTGTGTGTGTGTGGTTCTTTGCACACTTTTCTCGAGGCGGGAGAAAAAATTGTACAATATTATTTTAGTGTACAACAATAGAAGTCGTTTGTAAATAACGATGACAAATTTGGAGTAAATAAATATGTTTACTTTCAGTGAAATTTAGTTTATATTAAGTACTTTTGAAATTCACTTTTTAATTTTTTTCTCCTCTTTCGTTTCTTATTTTGAAACGTATGTAGAAACGTTCTAAAGTCACCTAGGGAAGGAGTGAAGGTCACTCGGATGACTTTTTCATCCATTGAAAATAGGTAGGTTAATACGAGTATCATCTCTACTTCTATAAGTTATTTACGTTATTTGCAAATTTCAATAAAAAGAAACATTATTTTAACAGAGGAAAACAAAACAAAAAAATAAAAAACTTTTTTTTAAATAATTGATTTTTTCGAGGAATTGAAATTAAATTTTTAAGAATAATTACATTTTTTGAGCAATTTCTGTGAAATTGTATTAAAAATAATTGAAATCCTCCGATGAATTGTATTATTAATGAAAATAATTGTGTTTTTGTAAGGAATTTTATTAAAATACCTCTAAATAATTGAATTTTCGGGAATAATTTTGTTCTTTATCTTTAATAATTGAATTGTTGAGAAAAATTTTATTAAATTTTTTTAAATAATTGAATTCTTGCAAAGAATTTGATAAAAATTTTTTTAAATAAGCAAATTCCTGTAAAAATTTTATTATTTATAAAAATAATTGATTTTTATAAAAAAAAATTCTAAATAATTGAATTTTTCAAAAGATTTAATTAAAAATGTATTGGAAAAAATTATTAAATTCTAATAAACAAATTATATAAATTTTCTTTGAATTTTAATTTTTAATAATTGAATTCCTGCAAATGTAAATTACACACTAATTATAATCGTATTAATTCTTATGCTCCTAATTGGGAAAATTACTTGGAAAACACTCATTAAGTTAGGGAAAATATTTTTATGTTTCACGGTAAATGAAACTTGCATTTTTTTTCCTCTTTTTTCAAACAGAACATAAATTAGAAACTATATGAATTTTTTAATTAGAGAAATCTATATCTAAACTTATGTCTTAAAAGTTTTAATTTTTTATCTAACATTTTAAAATTTTTTTTCTGTTTCAGTGTCGAGAGGAGAATGGAGAAAGTAGAAACAGCGCTGCCTCTGCATTTACTAAGCTGGACCCAATAAGACAACATTGACATTTCTCCACAAAAAGCAGTACGTGACAGGTATGTAAAAAGTAAGTTTTTATAATTTCCGTTTGTAATAATGGATGAAAGGAAAAATCCTTACGATACAAGAAGAAGTGTGCAGCAAAATAAATCGCAATATTAAAAATTTATTTCTTCAAAATTTAATAATTTTAACCATCTAAAAATCACCTGAGTTCTAGTAGGGAAAGAGCACTACACAATCCTAAAGAATATAGAATTTTATTTCAATTTTTAAGTAGTAGCACCTCCACCCGAACGCCATCAGACAATCAAAATTTGGTAAAAACGAAAATAAAAATTTATTTCTTCCAAATTTAATGATTCTAATGATCTGAAAATTGCCAGAGTTCTAGTAGGGACTGAGCACTACACAATCCTGAATAATAGAGAATTTTATTTCAATTTTTAAGTAGTAGCACCTCCACCCTACGCCATCAGACAATCAAATTTAGTAAAAACGAAAATAAAAATTTATTTTTTCCAAATTTAATGATTCTAATGATCTGAAAATTACCTGAGTTCTAGTAGGGACTGAGCACTACACAATCCTGAATAATAGAGCATTTTATTTCAATTTTTAAGTAGTAGCACCTCCACCCTTACGCCATCAGACAATCAATATTTAGTAAAAACGAAAATAAAAATTTATTTCTTCCAAATTTAATGATTCTAATGATCTGAAAATTACCTGAGTTCTAGTAGGGACTGAGCACTACACAATCCTGAATAATAGACAATTTTATTTCAATTTTTAAGTAGTAGCACCTCCACCCGAACGCCATCAGACAATCAAAATTTAGTAAAAACGAAAATAAAATTTATTTCTTCCAAATTTAATGATTCTAATGATCTGAAAATTACCTGAGTTCTAGTAGGGACTGAGCACTACACAATCCTGAATAATAGAGAATTTTATTTCAATTTTTAAGTAGTAGCACCTCCACCCGAACGCCATCAGACAATCAAAATTTAGTAAAAACGAAAATAAAAATTTATTTTTTCCAAATTTAATGATTCTAATGATCTGAAAATTACCTGAGTTCTAGTAGGGACTGAGCACTACACAATCCTGAATAATAGAGCATTTTATTTCAATTTTTAAGTAGTAGCACCTCCACCCTTACGCCATCAGACAATCAATATTTAGTAAAAACGAAAATAAAAATTTATTTCTTCCAAATTTAATGATTCTAATGATCTGAAAATTACCTGAGTTCTAGTAGGGACTGAGCCCTACACAATCCTGAATAATAGACAATTTTATTTCAATTTTTAAGTAGTAGCACCTCCACCCGAACGCCATCAGACAATCAAAATTTAGTAAAAACGAAAATAAAAATTTATTTTTTCCAAATTTAATGATTCTAATGATCTGAAAATTACCTGAGTTCTAGTAGGGACTGAGCACTACACAATCCTGAATAATAGAACATTTTATTTCAATTTTTAAGTAGTAGCACCTCCACCCGTACGCCATCAGACAATCAATATTTAGTAAAAACGAAAATAAAAATTTATTTCTTCCAAATTTAATGATTCTAATGATCTGAAAATTACCTGAGTTCTAGTAGGGACTGAGCACTACACAATCCTGAATAATAGAACATTTTATTTCAATTTTTAAGTAGTAGCACCTCCACCCGTACGCCATCAGACAATCAATATTTAGTAAAAACGAAAATAAAAATTTATTTCTTCCAAATTTAATGATTCTAATGATCTGAAAATTACCTGAGTTCTAGTAGGGACTGAGCCCTACACAATCCTAAAGAATATAGAATTTATTTTAATTTTAAGTAGTAGCAGGTCCACCCGTACGCCATCAGATAATCAAAATTTAGTAAAAACGAAAATAAAAATTTATTTCTTCCAAATTTAATGATTCTAATGATCTGAAAATTACCTGAGTTCTAGTAGGGACTGAGCCCTACACAATCCTAAAGAATATAGAATTTTATTTTAATTTTTAAGTAGTAGCAGGTCCACCCGTACGCCATCAGATAATCAAAATTTAGTAAAAACGAAAATAAAAATTTATTTCTTCCAAATTTAATGATTCTAATGATCTGAAAATTACCTGAGTTCTAGTAGGGACTGAGCACTACACAATCCTGAATAATAGAGAATTTAATTTCAATTTTTAAGTAGTACCACCTCCACCCGTACGCCATCAGATAATCAAAATTTAGTAAAAACGAAAATAAAAATTTATTTCTTCCAAATTTAATGATTCTAATGATCTGAAAATTACCTGAGTTCTAGTAGGGACTGAGCACTACACAATCCTAAGAATATAGAATTTTATTTAATTTTTAAGTAGTAGCAGGTCCACCCGTACGCCATCAGATAATCAAAATTTAGTAAAACGAAAATAAAAATTTATTTCTTTCCAAATTTAATGATTCTAATGATCTGAAAATTACCTGAGTTCTCGTAGGGACTGAGCACTACACAATCCTGAATAATAGAGAATTTTATTTCAATTTTTAAGTAGTAGCACCTCCACCCGAACGCCATCAGACAATCAAAATTTGGTAAAAACGAAAATAAAAATTTATTTCTCATAAATTTAATGATTCTAATGATCTGAAAATTACCTGAGTTCTAGTAGGGAAAGAGCACTACACAATCCTAAAGAATATAGAATTTTATTTCAATTTTTAAGTAGTAGCACCTCCACCCGAACGCCATCAGACAATCAAAATTTGGTAAAAA